TCGGCCCCGCCCCCACCCGGCCGCTCTCTCCGCCCCCTCGCCCGCTCGGGTCTCCGGCCCAGCTGGGGCTGCGGACGCGGGTTCCCTGGGCCGCGCCGCCTGCTTGCTCACTCGCTCCCTCTGCGAAGGGGCTGCGGTTCGAGGTGGAAGGAGGCAGCGGCGGCCGTATACTAGAGGAAGCTCGGCTTCCGCGGCAGCAGTGACTTCGGCACGGAGGTCCGCAACGGCCTCGGGCGCCCCACCACTTCGGATATTTCCGTCGCCTGTCCGCTTCGGCTCCGCCGACCCCCGTCTTGCGCTGTGCGCCTGCGCAGCCACCGTCGCCGTTCCCGCCCCGTGTTGCTCAGCGTTGGGCTTAGGATTCGGATTCTTTCGGCTGGGCTCGGGTATTTCCGCTTGTCCAGGCTTCTCTCGGTCACTTCCGGGGAAGCTCGCGTGTCGCAGACAGGAGGCGGTGCTGCCGCCATCTTTGAGCGGGGCAGATGCGGATGCATCGCTCCATGGCGGGTCATTCCCATTTGGACTTGTGCAGACCGCGGCGGGGTGAGTCAAATGAGGTCGTCGCCCCGGAGGTCACGGACAGAGGCATGGTGATCGCGGAGAGTCAGAGCCCAGGGGGCGAGGCCAGGGGCGTTGCCAAGAGGATTGTAGGGTCGGGCACCCTCGTGTCTCATCGCAAACCAGACAACCTGTTCTCAAAGATTCTAGTTGCGGTAAACTAACAAAACGTATCGTGACAGAGAGTGGTCAGCCCTACAGAGGGTTATGCAGTAGGACACTTGGGGGCGGGACCGCTCTTGGCGCGGGGCCCGATTTCCGGCGGGTGCGCGGGACGATCTTTCGCCGTCTGCACGGGCCGATGTGGGTGGGGCCAGCTCCTCCTCCAATCCCAGCTCAGCGGGCCTTGGAGGACGGTCCTGTGACTTCCGGCTGTCACCGCGGAAACCCTCTGGCTGGTGAGCTGTGCTGGTAGGGCTGGCCAGCGCGGGGGCGGGCAGGCGGGAGCGGCCGTGGCTCTGCTGCTCAGCTCTTCCGCGTCCGAGCGCGGCTCCCGTGGCACGTCCCCTGCCGTCATTGAGACGACGTGCCGTCGCCGCCCGGAGCATTGTGGGAGACGTATTCCCAGCCGTCCAGTTGGGGCCCCGTTGCGGTTGGGCATCCGTGCTCATGGGTTCCTTTCAGACGTCGACCGCTGCCCAGGCCCGTGATCGTCACTTCGGCGGAGTCGCCCGGACGTCCTCTCATCCCTAGCACCTTCTTAGACCGAACCCGGGGTCTACCTCAGTCCCCATCCTAACCTTAGGCAGTCAGTCGCCTTCACCTCATCGGATCTCGGTCTGGCGTTCATCCCGTCCCCGCCTCCTCGGAGGCTCTGCCCTGTGAGTGCTGGGTACTCTTGGCGTCCTTGGGCCCCGTGGACTGATTCCAGGTGAATTCGGTAACCGCCCCCCCTTTCGGCCTTTTCATTCTTAACGCCACCAACCCAGACGCCCCCTTCAGCCCTCCGGTTGTCCCAGCTTCACACTCCCAGCACCCTTTCTTGACTCTACGTGAGAGCCGAGTGCTGGAGAGGTGCAGGGGTGAGTATGGGGGCTCAAGCCTCAAACAGCTCAGGTTTGGGGCTGACATGATTGCAATCATTCCAGCGTCCTCGGGCTTCAGTATCGGCTGGTCCTGGGACTCAGAGGGCCCTTCCAGACTCAAGCTCTCTCTTCCTCTAGCTCTTTCCATTCTTAGCCATTCTGCTCTTGGTGATTATTTTTTTAAACTCTGTTTCTATGCGAGGGTTCATGACCACCATGCTGTTTCCAGCCAAAGTCTCAGGTGGTTCCTGGTCCATGTGTCCATCCTCGGGCCAGTTGCTGAGGCCGGTCAGCTTATAGGCCCATCCAGGATAGGGTGTTGGTTCCTCAGAGAGGTGACGCTGGACTCGCGAGGCTTCTAACATAATGGCTTCCCCACCGTGCAGGGGGGAAGACTCAACCATGCAAGAAATGCTGGGAAAAGGAGGACCTCTCTGGGTCTGGACCAGAGAGGGAGGGCTTGGCCACACTGAAGCAGGGGGCTGTGTTGGAAGTGGTGCAGCCGTGTCCTCCTTGTCACCCTTACAGCCACCCAAGTAGCAGAAGGGCACAGGTGTTTTGGGTGTCAAGGGTACCTGTAGCTCCCGGGCCTGCAGCCTCTGCAGAGGCTGCACAGGGCTTGGCATGTGCAAAAACCCTGAGGGAAGCTGGGGTGACAGCCTTGGAGGGGTGAGGCGGAACATGATGGGCGAGGAGGTGGAAGCGCACCTCGCCTCTGGGAGCTGACACTGGGAAGACAGTGTCCTCTGCAGAAAGGAGGGAGGAGGCAGGGAGGCTGAGTGCTGTAGACCTCTATGCCGGAGACGGGTGGCTGGGATCAGAACAATGCTGGGGAGTAGGGAGAAGCAACCAGATTCGGGGGGCTGGAGTTAGGGCGAGAGTAACTGGTGGATGTGGCATTGAGAAGCTGGGTTTGGGAGTGAACTCGGCTCAGGTACAGACGATCCAGGGACAGGCTGGCTGGGCATTGGCGTAGCTTCCCCTGGATGGCCAGGGCCTTGGGCTCTCCTCTGCTGGATTCCTCCTATGGCTCTGGCCAAGTGGGGCCAAATGGTCATTCTGTCCAAGCCCTGCCTATTGTACGGTAGCCCTTGAGTTCTCCTCCCCCAGCCACACGGCCAGCTGGCAGTGTGTCCCCGGCCAACTGCAGAAATGTTCTTTCGTGGGTGGCTCTTACATCGCTCTTTCTGTTTCTCCTCAGAAGGCTGGCTCCGGCAGGTGGGTCTATGCACTTCTCAAGACTTCGGGTGTGGGGCTCTGGGCTGATGTCTCCATGCTGTTCGTGTTGTGTTTTTTCCTGTGTTGGAATTTCGTGTTTTTACGTAGTTGTATCTTCACAGCAGAGATGATCAAAACGTGAGAGCATTCTTGTTCTCTGTTTCCGATTATAAAAATCACACAGGCGTGTAAAAAATAATCCATGTTACAGATTTATGAAGTTCCGGCAACATTCCTTTGGCCCGAGGCCCCCAGCTACCTTAGTGTTGTAGGGCCTTTCCTGATCTGACTTGCCTGGGGGCCCAGCGAGCATCTTCCTTTCCTCCTTAATTTTGCAGATCCCAGACTAGAGTCGTCAGAGCCCCCTCTGTGGTCAGAGAGGACAGCGAGTATTGTCACAGGGCCCAGGATACCCCGACTGTGCCACACAGGAGTGCCTTGCACGGGGAGCCGCTGACTTTGCCAGATCTGGAAGCCTGAGTGGCCCTGGTCTTGGCTCGGGAGAGGGGTGTAGTGGAGGGGAGGGAGGAGGCAGGGGGCATGCCTTCTCCAGCATGGTGGTCGGAAGACAGGCTGGCTTGTCTTCTTTCCCCGATTCCAGGGACCCAGTCTTGTGGAGGTCGGGGTGACTCAAAGCAGCAGGGAAAAGTCTGTAGCTGCACCTCTGGGAGAAGCTTGGACACACAGGCCTCAAAGGGCTGTTCCCAGAACCTCTAGGCCAAGGGCAGGCTGCTGACACCTGTCCAGAGCGGGGTTAGGTCCTAGGCTAGACCCTGCTGCCTGGAGACCCCTTCTTTGGCACTGCCTTTCACCCCGTTTCTGGTACCCAGGCCACCCATTGGTGGGGTGGGGGGGGGCTGAGTCAAGGGCCTGGGCAATGGGGTGGAAGGGGGAGCTAGCTAGGGCAAAGGAGGCAATGGCATAGGGAAAGGCTGGAGGTTTCCAGATACGCCAGCTCTCAAGGGCTGTACGCACACCAGCAGTACTTGTCTCCTGTCCCGTAAGCTGCTTCCAACTGTGTTTCCTGTGACGTGCCACTGAAAACACTGCTGTTGACCTCCCAGTGTATGTGTGCGGGGGTGTGCATGTCTCCGGGGTGGGAGAATGCAACCGACGAGGCCGGAAATGATCACTAGAGGGCGGGGGACTTGGGAACAGGCCTGTATAGACTTCTATCCCCAGACAGGCCAGGGTCGGGTTGGAAGGGGCCGCCATCCTCAGCACCTGCTGAAAGTAAATGTGGAAATGGGGAAAAGTCCTGAAAGAATGTGGATTTCCAGATAAAACCTGCCAGCTTTTACACCCTAGAAACATCTGCATAGGTTTAAAGTTTTACAGAAACACCTGCCCAGGCCAGCTCGGGCCTGCTGGGCACCCGTTCGCTACTTCTTCTGCATCCTATGGTCTCGGCTGCCTGGAGAACTGGGCTAGTCCCAGTCCTTGCTTGGCAGTTGGCTTGGCGCGGATATGTGTGGGTCGAGACACCTTGGGCAAACGGTACGGGGGGCACTCCACGGATGTGGCAGGCGCTGCAAGGAGCCGCCTCTGCACGGCTCTCCTGGGCTCTCCGAGGGTTGCAGAGGGACCCGCGCAGGCGGGGGAGGCACAGAGTGTGTGGAGACCGAGACCCAGGTTCCTTCTACTGTTTATTGAGCGCCTGCTGGGGCGCAGGCCTCACAACCACCCTGTGAGGTAGGTGTTCTGGCCCCCTCGCCCCATGCACACAGCCCCGAGGTGGACGCGGACAGGGGGCGCACGGGGCGCTGGCTACTCCGCGCTGTGGACGCGCTGGTGCTGGATGAGCTTGGTGCTCTGGCTGAAGCGCCGGCCGCAGTCCTGGCAGGCGAAGGGCTTCTCGCGCCGGTGGGTGCGCAGGTGCTGCGTGAGCGTGGGCCGCTGGCGGAAGGCCTTGCCGCACTCGGGGCAGGCGTAGGGCCGCTCGCCCGTGTGGATGCGCCGGTGCTGCGTGAGGTTGGCGTGCTGCCGGAAGCTCTGGCCGCACTCGGGGCAGGCGAAGGGCCGCTCGCCCGTGTGGATGCGCTGGTGCTCCGTGAGCCGCGACACCTGCGTGAAGCCCAGGCCGCACTCGCCGCAGCGGTAGGGCTTCTCGCCGGTGTGCGTCCGCTGGTGGCGCGTGAGCTTGAGACGCTGGCTGAAGCGCTGGCCGCAGTCGGGGCAGGCGA